AGCACGACAATTATTTTTGTTTTGTGTGATTTAATTACCTCCCTCCTCCTCCTCAAGTGAAGCATTTTCCTCTAGGGAGGAAAAATAGGAAAAGGAGAGAGCAGCCTTTCAATACAGAAGAAGGCCACATTTCAGGCTTGAAATAGACAGTGGAGATGGCAAAGAAACAAAACCTTTAAAAGGTTTGAAGGCGGCACCCCTGACCTGGCCATGATGTCCTTTCAAATGAGAAGAGAAAGAGAAAACAGAGATAAAAATGTTAAGCAAGTCTGTGATTCCCCAGAGCAGATGACTGGACAATGATGTTGTTAAGCGGAGCCTTTTTTCTTCGTCTTTTGATGAAGAGAGAGATTTAAAGGGAAGGTAAAAAATTTTGGGGTTTTTTTGGTGGGGGGCTGGGGTTGTAACTTTCAGAATGTTTTCATCATTTTATGTTGATAAATGTTAACTAGTGGCTTTCTTAAGGAAAACAAAAGCAAAGCAAAACAAAATAAAATCAAAGCTAGGAGGAATAAATAAGAAAATGGTATAAATCTTCATAACTCTGACAACTTCAAGTTAACCCTATGGATGCCAGTTGCTTAGTTACTGCTGCTGCTGGTGGTGGTGGTGGTAGTGGTGTGGGGGGTGTGTGGGAGAGAGAGACAGACAGACAGAGAGAAAGAGAGGGGGAGAGAGGGGAGAGAGAGGAAGAGAGAGGTAGACAGAGAGAGATAAACAGAAAGAGAGAAGAGAGAGAGATTACATAAACTATGGTTAAAGAGGCAGAACAGCCAGAAGAGAACCAGATTCATGAAACCTAAGAACTAGTTTCAGGAAGGCAGGTGTGGCCAACAGTGTCAAATACCAGAGATCAAATAGCCTAAGGATCTAAAAGAGGTCATCAATGTTACCAGTTGTAAGCTGTCTGTCTGAGTTTTAGGTATTTTTCTGTGTATTTTCTGCAATTATTTTTAATAATAATAATAATAATGATAATGATGATGATGATGATGAGAGATTCTCAGTTCTCTGTGTCACAACCTGGCCAGGGAACTTGTATCTAGAACTGTGTCTAGAACTTCCCCCTGGCCAGAGACCCAGGGGGAAGTTAATGGAAGACAAGAAATAGACACTAAAGCTTGCCTGTAACATTAAAGAAAAGAAAATTTGGAGGAAGGCAGGTGGAAACTGTGGCTTCCAGGAAAAAAGTATAATTTCACTTTTTATACAATGTTCAGGGAATACATCTGTTTACAAATTGGACTAACTGGTTGACCCTAACAAAAAAAAAACCCTGCAAATAAATGTTTTTCAAGACCAGAATAGAAACAGTGCTGCATCTTGCTTGGGTGTAAATAGAATTCTCATGAATATGGGGAGGGGGGTCCCGTTGCTCCACTCAAAAGGAATCACATTGCAGTTAGAGTCTGTGTGGTTTAGAGCCTGTTCCACCTGTAAAGGTGACACCTTGTACTTTGGTCATTTGACCACTGATGGCTTGTGGAATTTTTTCCTGTGTCTAGATATGTACTGGAATTAAGCTGACTAAGATGTGAACTGTAAGTCTTTATCAGTTATTATGGGAAAAAAGGTAGGGTGGGGATGTTTGTGTGTATGTGCACGAGTGTGCGTGTGTGTGTGTGTGTGTGTGTGTGTGTGTGTGTGCGTGTGTGCGTGCACGCACGCGCGCACATTTGGAAGCTAGAAATCAACATCAGGTATCTTCGTCAATTGCTATTTAGCTTATTTGTTGATTTATGGATGAGTCATGGATCCTGGAGCTCACTGATTCTGTTAGACTGGCTGATCAGCTGGATCCATTCATCTTCCATCTCCACCCCTCCAACGCTGGGATTATTGGCATACCACATCTGGAGTTTTATGTGGGTTCTGGGGATATGAACTCAGGTCTTCATGCTTGCATGGTAAAAACCTGACTAAGCCATCTCGCTAGTCCTCTTTTTAAAAGTTTGAGCTATATTTCATTCTCCAATATTCTGACAAGTAGGCTTCCTCAATCACTACAAATTCATCTGGAAAAATAATTTTGCTTATGTTATTAGAAATTCTTCACTGATTCTCTGCAGTGTTTTATTTTTTCAGCTGCTAGGAACCAATGGCTGGTATAGCAGGCAAGAACATACACATGTGGTGAAAATCATCTCATTTAAAAAAATTCTCAAAAAATAAAAAATTATAAAAAAAAAAATCTCTATTTTAAGCTAGGCATTTGTAGACTGTAGGCAGCATGATATGTGGTAAAAGCATCTTCCAAGCACTACTTTTCAGGGAATCTTGGTTTAAAAGCCTTCGTGGGATGGTAAAATTGAGCTTCTGGCTTCTCTATGACCTCTCACAAGGTCTGTGCAGCCACAGCTGCCTGAAGGTCAAGTCTGTAATTAGAAGATCCCAGGGTCATCTCAGAATAGAACCTCAAGCTACCCAGGGCACATTTGTGGAACCCTCTACTTGAGAGCAACAGTAGCAAAGAGAGGCCTTCCTGCTTATGTAGAAAGGGCTTCCTGGGACAAGGTTTGGGTGTTTGGTGAAGGCGTTGTAGGGATCAGAGGATGTGGTAGGGAAAACTCTTGAAAGTATCTTCAGGAATAAACCAACCAGAGACACTCAAAGGCTGAGAGATTCCCTCTTTAAAACTTTTTTCTCTCGGAAGTGTGATCTCTCTAAGCTGGGACTGTTGAAATCCAGCAGTTGTGTCCTATGATACTGTTGCACTGACAGAGCATGCTACGCTACTTGGTGTCAACAGAATAATGTCCCCTGTAACTTGGCTGACATTTGATCTCTGTAGGGTTCTTGTTTGTTTGTTTTGTTTTTCAAGACAGGGCCTTCAAACTCAGAGATAGAGATCCACCTGCCTCTGCCTCCCCAGTACGGAGACTAAAGGTCTGTGCCGCCATACCTGCCTACTCTCAAGGGTTTTTGTTTTGTTTTCCGAGACAGGATTTCGCTGCCTGTGTAACAGTCCCGTCTTCCCTGGACTTGCTTTGTAGACCAGGCTGGCCTTGAAATCACAGAGATCCACCTGCTTCTGCTGGGATTAACCCTCTCTATAGGGGTTTAAGGGTAGAGATTTACAAAATGCTTACAAACAGTCTCAACATTGCAGCCTGTTTGTGCCTTCATTGCAGTGAGAGTTGACTGGGGCAGATTCTTAACCACACAGGGCTTCTTGGTTAAAGGGATCCAGTTTGGCTTTGGAGCCATTGTCTTCACATAGTGAGGATCCAGGGAAGCTCTGCCTGGGTCTTCTTTCTTTCTAGTCTTTGTTCTTTTCCAGCATCCTAACAGCTTGATTTGTGTAGTGCTCCCTATTACAGAACCCCAGGAAATTAACTTTTATTTTTAAGATTAAAAAATGATTTATTTATGAACATGAGTATTTTGCTTATATGCATGTGTGTGCACCACATAACACGCCTGGTGCCTGTGGAGGTCAGAACAAAGTGTCAGAGCTCCTGAAACTGGAGTTACATGTGGTTGTGAGCTATCATGTGGATTCTGGGAATTGAATTTAATAGTACTCCTCTTGGGAACTGTGCCCTCCAAACTACAAAAATTGCATGTGTGTGCGTGTGTGTGTGTGTGTGTGTGTGTGTGTGTGTGTGTGTGTGTTAGAATTTTAAGCATGGTGAGATATGGAGGAAGTGAGGTAAGAGATAGAGAGGCCCAGGAGACAGGGAGGCCTAATCTCTTCCTAAAACCGTGTGGAGAACAATGGCTTTCCCCTTGGGCATTTTCCTTTGTACACAGACGGTCACAGACATTATTTTAAACTCTTAGCTAGTACTGGACTTTTGAAAGTCGGGCACAGGAGGTAGCTTATAGGCTGTGGGTGGGTGTCACGAAAAATGTCACCGTTGCTCAGTCAGTGGGATCCTGTTTATGGTCCTCTACTTGCAGGGATTTCAAGGTTCCAACAAAATTCATTTCTTGAAAGACAGGAGACAAAAATCCAAGGATGTAGCTCAGTTGGCAGAGTGATTGCCTAGTATGCAAGAAGCTGGCTTCATCTCCCTGAACTGTACAAATTAGGTGTGGTGCCCAGTTCCTGTAATTTTAGGCCTTTGGAGGTAAGAGGATCAGGAATTCAAGGTAATTGAGTTTATCACCAGACTACTTGAGACTGTCCCAATTAAAATAAACAAAATAAAAAAGTGAGGCAGAAAAATGTCATTTAACTGTGGTCCAGTTTGGCATCAAAACCCACACCTGTGCCCACAGCTGATTTTGGTTGTGGCTTACAGTTACCTATTGCCAGACTAGTGTGTGTGTGTGTGTGTGTGTGTAGGAGGTACAGACTTCGACTCTTGAAGGTAGCAGGACTTCTTTTGAAAATCAAGTCAAGGGATGAGGCAGAAACCAGAATCAGGCCATATTCACTCTGTAACTTCATCTTCTCTCCCCCAGTCCAGGACTTTTGAAAGGAAAAGAAGGAAAAGACAGAAAATGATTGGCATCTGGAGAGATCGCCCTTCCTTTCCAACCTGGGGGCTGTGTAAACTGACAAGGGGAGACAGAAACAAAACAAGATGTAACAAACAAACAAACAACCCCCAAAACAAAAACCAACCAAAATAAAACCAAACAACCAGCCAAACAACCAAAAAGAATCAAACAATTGCAGAGAGCAAGAGTTTAGAGGAAGCGGGTTTTTTTTTGTTTGTTTTTTGTTTTTATTTTTCCCATTACCTCCGCTGCTGGGAACGCGGAGACCAAGACACAGCTCAAGCCTGGAGTTTCCCGCCCGCCCGGGGTAGGCAGGTCAGGGCGGGGGCTACGGAAGAGGGCCCCACAAGGCTTGCACCATGCGCCCTGGGTGCCCAAAGCGGCGCACTGTCGCCCGTTTAAGGGGCGGACCCCGGCTCCACGTGCTTTCTGCTGAGTGACTGAACTACATAAACAGAGGCCGGGAAGGGGGCGGGGGAAGAGGCAGAGAGCAGCGTTTGACCGGTAGTAACCCCGGCGCTCGGCACAGCCGAATCTATAAAAGGAACTAGTCGCGGCAAAACCCAGCAATTCCGAGGGCGAGCGATCGGGCCGGGACCGGCCGAGCCCACTTCTCCCTCCACGGCGCAGTGCAAAGCTGGGTAGGGGTCGCCGCGGCACCCGCGCAGCCACAGCCGGCTTGGGGAGCTGCTCTGCTCCCTGTTTTTCCCCCCACTTTCTCTCCCTTTTCTGGAAGGGCTTGTGCAGGGCTGGGGGAAAACAAACACTCACGGCAAAGTGGAAAACAGGTAAGAGGTCCTTCAGTGACTTGGGCATTTTGTTTGGGGGCCAAGGAAGCCTTGGGAGGCTCTCCGTTTCAGGGTCTCTGCCCCTCCAACCCCCATATTCTCTAGCTCTAGGGGTGGAAATAGATCAGGGGCTGCATTACCGGGGAGAGGATGTCCTGGACAGGCCGTGGCGACCCTGGGGCGCAGAACTGCAGCAGCCGGGTCTCCCTGAACCGGAGACCCGGGAGAGAATCTCTGGGCGCAGAGATCCGCCTCTCGAGCACAGCAGGAGCCGGGGTTCCCGGTCGTCCTAGGGGCGCAGCCACAGGGGTGGGGAGGTGAGGATCCGCTGGAAGCGTCTCCCATTGTCTGGCTCCGGGTTGGCAATCGCCTACAAGTGTTACCTCTGAGCCCCCACTCCATTATTTAATTGGTTTGTGTTGGTCCCTGACTTGGTGATCCCCACCCCAGGACTGGGCGGCATGTCCTTGTTTCCAAACAACTCTGGTAGGAATTGTCCCAAACGTGATCTTTTGTGTTATTGCGAGCTCGAGGCCTCGGGGCTTTGTTCCACCCGGGGGTCCTGCCCAAAGCCTTCCTGCACCCTGGAGAGCTGCAGCCCCTGGCGCAAAGTGGGAGACGACTTTTGTTCCTTCTAAAGGTAGAAAACTCAGGAGAGTCCGCAGAAACCCGAAACGGGGGTGCTCATTTCCCCTCACCCCTGGTCCATCTTCTTGCTTTTTGCTGATTGTCCCCTGGGGAGCCTTCGGGCCGGGCACCGGTAGAGAAGCTGGGACGAGGCTGTGCAGCCGAATGACCGCGAGTAACCCCGGCGGGCGGCGCAGAACTCGGGTGTTGGGCCGGGCTCCGCCGCCAGGGGGTGGGGGCTGGGCGGCCTGCGGGTGGCCCCTGGAGACTGGCCCGCAGCGCCTCCTGGCCGGGTGGCCTAGGTATGGCGCGGTGCAAGAGAAAGAGTTACTCCCCTTCACTGTGAATCTGGTCGGAGCTGGTGGTTCCAAACTAGGAGTCGTCCTGAGGGCTGAGAGACCGGTCTAGTTTTTTTCTTTTCTTTTCTTTTTTTGTCCTTGCGTTTCCTGACTCCCAGGCCGCTGCTAAATGAGGCACGGCTCATGTAAGGGTCTTTGCTGATGACAGGCCTACTGATGAGTAGGTGCCTTTTCTTGTTTTTCTGCACTTACCGACCGGAAAGGAGAGAAATACTTATTAAACATTTTTTAAGGAGAAAAAGTGTCTGGCACTAGAAACAATCAGTTTTCCTCTTTTGCTGCTCTGGTACCATCATTAAAAAACAAACCAAAACAAGACTTTTCAATGACATCCCTCAAGGGGAGTGGGCAGGATAAATGTATAATAGAGGACAGATTGATTTTTTTTTTTTTTTTTTTTAAGGAAAACTTCTTGGTTTGGGATGTAGGTTATGCTTGAGTGTTTGTCTAGCTTGTACAGGACTCAGGGTTCTAGTACCACCGCCGCAGAAACAAACCCAAAGTACAAAACTTCCTTTCTATGGCTCCGTCCCCACGTCCTTAAAGCACACCTGAGACTCCCCTCGACCCCCGGACCCCTCCCTCCCAGGTAGAAAACACACCCCTCCTGGAAGTTCTCTTATAGTCAGAGCTTGGAACCCAGGCCCAGGTATTGCCAGTTAAAAAGTCCTTGTTTTCTCCTCTGCCCATTTCTTTCAGCCCATTTTTTTTTTTTGTATTCTAATTACAAGCACAAGAGCACCTTATTGCTGTTCCCATCTTTGCAAAAACTTCTCCCACATCAAAGAAAGCATATTCAGTGTAGAGAATATTTCTGAGTTGATAGTGTACAAAATAATAAAGATAAATTACAGTTTCTTTTGTATGCGTGTTTTTTCCTCAGTGCTGTCCTAAGTCATTAAAATAGAGGTTTTTTTTTTAAAAACGAGGTGATGCACAGAGCTGATTATTACTTGTGTGAGAACAAGTTGAATCAGAGGGGAGAGGGAAGAAAATTTCCAGCCAATGTAGTGCTCATAGGCTCTTTTTTTGGAGCAAGAAACGCTACCATAGGGTAATTCATGTTCCCGTTGTAAAAGTCTGTTCTGGACTGACTGGTGTTCAGATGCCTGTGATGCTTGTCTTCCTGAAAATGCGTGTTTGAAATCCAGCCCTTAGAGTATTTCTATCCGCACCTAAGGGCAGGCGTGTCATGACCACCTCCGACGCACCTTCATTTGCAACTTGCTCATGTTTTGTGGGAGATGATGAATTAGTGTGGAATTGGAAAGGATGGTTGGGCTTTGTTGGTTTTCCACTGCTTCTCATGGAAGCCCCGGTGCAAACATTAAAAATAAATGAAACTCAGCAACCCAGCTGTGTGCTGTCTTACCTGTGTGGGGAGGAGCCAGAGTAGTTTTATATTTACATTTGTTCTTTTTAGGCATGGTTTTTCCACCTTGTCAACCAGGATGCTTGTGTGTGCGCATTTCTAATTGTTAGAGCTTTGCTTTTTTTTTTTAATTTTTCATTTCTAAGATCATTAAATGGGCATTCCTTTAAACTCTTACATTAATAACTTTCTGAGATTTTAGAAAATGATCAAAAACGCATATTGCTTTGGCATTTCTAAAACATTCAAGTATAAATACATTTTTGTATATGGTCTAGATGTTAAATAAATAATGGAAATATAGTGTTCCTATTATTCTGACATAAAGTTTTAAAAGGCCAGTCTTAATACTTGCTTGATTTAGTTGTACTGGGAGTGTGCTTGCACTAAAAATATTGGAGACCGCCTTTACATATGCAAATGAAAACATCTGGAATACCAAAGTTATAGACATGTTTGTGTCTTAATAAACACTTACATGGTACTCTGTGCCAAGTGGTGTTTCAGGTGTTTCTCAGAAAACAAATTAATCTTAAAAACAAATTTATTCATTGCATCAATTCTACAGATTAAGTAAGAAGGTAAGCTATAATGGGTCTTTGGCTTTCCAAGTGGCTGATTTGAGACTCGAATTCAGTTCCAGAGGTCCGAACTGTGCACATTGAATCACTGGTACAATTTTAGATGCTGTGAAAGGGAATTCTGTGTTTTCGTTTGCTGTCATTCTTATCAGAAACTATAATTTGTATTATATTTCCATTGTTGCTCAGGGGTGGTAAGCCAAGTTCTCTCCTGGAAGGGGCCTTGGTTGCAACGCAGTGCAAAACCCGGAACAGTAACATTTGCTCAATTCTCAATAAAAACCAAAAACAAACCTTGGTTTTAAATGAACCTGATACTCTTGTTTCAGTCAATTATTTGTGAGTCGTGAGTGACCTCAGAGTAGTTTCCTACAGATAGTGGGCCAAGCAGTGTATTTTAAAAATGCAAGAAGTCGGAAAGTGAAAGTCTCAGCTATGAAATGGCTTTCACAGGCAGGTCTTCAGCTGCACTGCATTTTGTCATACACAAACTGTGAAAACACCCAAAAAAACAAAAAACAGTGTATGTTTGTTGTTGGCAGTGGTGGAATGTCACATTTGCTCTCTAAAACAAAGAGGGGAAAAAAATCCTTTAAGAAAAATCTATTTTGGAAAAGAAATACAAAATTCTTTAGACTTTGCAAGCTTCCTTTAGACCTGACAGAAGCAATGTCCCCCCTCACAAGACGCCTGAACCTATAGCTCCCGTCCATTCTGGAACCATAAAAGTCACCATGCCGTGCACTTAGCTTTCGAAGTTGTGATTAGCATTTGTCTCCTCTGTCATGCATGTGTCTCTAAAAAAAAAAGAGGTCTTTGACTCAGTTTCCCCCTTATGCTCAATGAGTCTCTGTAATAGGGAAATTGACAAACACTAACTTGAAAAAGTCAGTTAAGGGGATGGGTGCTGCTTGCTTCCTATGTTTTAAAACTACTCAAACAAATGGGATGTTCTCAGAAAAGTGTTAGAAACTGATACTGCAATGAACATCTCGGTGGTACATTGATAAATTTTGGTGCATGTTTAAATTATTTAGGCTGGATGACGCGAGAACAAGCAGTCCTCCTAGCCCAGTTCCATTTCCCTTTCTGAGGCAGCTGTGATTTGAGATTATGTTCTCATCTGTGATGTTCCACAGTTAAATATTTTGAGTTATGTATCAACTTACTGTTATGGATAGGCATGCAATAACTCATTAAGTGATTTAGAGGTGTAAACACTTTAAAAAGTACAGTAGCCTCTTCTGCATAGTTTCTGTTTTTCACACCTTTTTAGGTATATGCTTTAATCTACAATGTTTTCTGTGTTATTTCCAAGAATTTGAATAGTCAGGTATGGAATCAATCTGGGTGTATTTAAAAAAACAACAACAAAAACCAGTTAATGATAGTGGTAGTTGTAATAAGAACTTGAATTCAAAGTAAAGAAAACCTTTGGTCAGGTTGTGTTAATAAGCAGTTGTCAGTCTTAATGGGCTTTGCAAATTTAATGGCAACGATGCCTTTTTCCAGGTTTGCCATTGGAGCCACATTTCACATAATCAGAGAGTGGCTCTCCCCTGCTGAGGAGTGGCGTGAGTAGATGTGCCTTCAGAGACCAATGGGGCACTCTATCCTCAAACAGAGCTCAATTTGGGGACACTGGCTCTCACCGATGCATGCACTTAGTACGTCCAATTCCATTGCTTGGAGACTGGAGTGGGTGAATTTTTAAGTGGCGCCATAAAAATCACAGTGGTTTTTGTTGATGTTGTTGTTTTGTTTGTTTGTTTGAAGGAGCTAGCAGAAGTCCCACCCAGTAGTTTAGTTCCATTTTCCCCTGAATATTTTTCCTTTGGTACTCTGAATATTTGATTTGTGGAATCTTAATAACAGAGTCATTTCTGGAGAAAGGTATGCATAGAATTTTGATAATACTGTGTTCAGTTGAGATGAATTTTCTTTTTATGGGATCCTCCCAAACCTCAAATAACAGTGTTTGCATTGTCAATACAAAAAAATTAAAAATGAACACACCCTCAGAGTTTTGTTTTTGAGAATCAGTTGTAGTCTTACTCCTCT